TTTTTGCTACTTTCTGCCATTAACATGACTGTTCTGTTTAGTTAAAATTGCAGTAGCTATGGAAATGCCAGCACCTGTGTGGATGACAAATCAGGAATTTAGAAATTGTTGTATAAATAAAAGAGTAAACTGAAATGGAGGAAAATCTTTGCTACTTTTCTGACAGAGGATTAATATCCAGAATAAAGAACTGGAAAAACAACACTGAAAAAAAAAATCATGAAACAAATAAATAGAAACTTTTGAAAAGAAGTACAGATAGTATGGTCAATAATTACATTTAAAAAGTTCATCTTTTTTTAATGTCCACATTGGCCTCAAATTTTCTATGGAACCTACACTGGTCTTGAACTCCTCAACCTCCTCCTCAGCTTCTGGGAGTGCTGAGATTACCCACCACAGCTTGGTAAAAAATGTTCAATCTTTTGCAATCAGAGAAATGCAAATCAAAACTACACTGATGTGCCGGGGATATAGCTCAGTGGCGTAGGCGCCCGCCTGGCAAGCGGAAGGTCCTGAGTTCGATTCCCGGTACCAAAAAAAAAAAAAAATACATCAATATTCATCTGGGCATGCTAGTGCACGCCTGTAATCCCAGCACTCAGGAGGCTGAAGCATCGCTGTGAGTTTGATGATCGCTGTGCTCCAAAATTAATTTGTTTGAAATCAAGCTGTCAGTTACATCAAGGGCTCATTTAGGTATAACATGGCTAAGATGCTCTAGTGCCACTGAATTTAATGGTTTGTCCATACTTTAATTTGAGAAAACACAAGGAAGGTATTCTCTTTTTTTCAATGGCAGAAATAGTACTTTCATCCAATACGATCTTTGTACTAGCTCTGGATAATGATCTGGGTCATTTCGCCTCACGTTAATTTGAACTGCAGATTTTAAAAGGAACAATTTCTGGATTCACATTTCTTGTTACTGTCAGGTAACCAGAACCATAATAAATATTTCAAGTTCTGACGTTTTGTTCAAGGTAAATATTACACTTTTTTATTTACTGTACACTATGATCCTCAGCATTTTGATACTGTACATCGGTTTATTTTTTATTACCTGCTGTTTTCACATACATATGTGTGTATGTCATGGGAAAGAACATGGCCTTACTCATTAATACAGGTTACCGGGCGTGGTGGGGCACACCTGTAATCCCAGCACTCTGTAGGCTGAGGCAGGAGGATCGTTGAGAGTTCGAGACCAGCCTGGGCGACACAGCGAGCTCAAGGCCAGCCTGAACTGCACAGCGAGACCCTGTCTCAAAAAGACAAACAAACACACAAAAAAAAACCCAGTTGGACTAACACTCTGACCCTACAAGCTACTAAGGGTCGAAGACAAATTTCTTTGCGCTACTGCACACAAGGTCCTCTAGCAGATCTCGGCTCTTTCCCCTTTTTTCAATAATACTTTTGTAGCGCAAGTTTTAAATTGTCTGCTGAAGCTCCAGCTTAGCCTGAAGATTACTCAGCTCGTCTCTGAACAGCTTTCTGGGCACTTTCCTCCCGGCTGAGTTTCTGTGTCTTTTACGCATTTGGTTTTATGTCTCAGAGATTTTTTTCCTTCACTCTTGCCAGTGATTCTACCTCATAATTCCTCAGTTAGCAATCCAAGCCAGCCCAGCTCTAATGCCATTCCATTCAATTTGTGAACTCCTGAGTCAACCACTTGGCCGCCCACTGTCGCCTTCCCCAACACCTTCTTCGGCCTCAGGAGAGAGAGAGAAAGCCCAGAGCGCACGCGCTTTTCCTCGCCAGCGCACTGTACCACGCATGCGCCACTCTGCGAGCGCATGCGCAGAGGAGAGACGCGCTGGCGGCCGCTGTGACGCAAGAAGGCGCGCCGAGCTGAAGTTTGCGCGGCTTCTATGGGGAGGAGTAGTGACCTGTCGCAGTCATGGTGCATTGCGGTTGCGCGTTGTTCAGAAAGGTCCGTGCCTGATGCCCCTAGGTCCTGTGCTTCTGTACCATCCGCGGTCCCGTGTCTTGCTCGCTCCCCTCACCGTTGTCCCGGGCCGGGCTGCGGCGGGTTGGAGGGCTGTGTCGTCTCCTTTGGGGTCACCGTGTGCACGGGGGACCGCAAACGGCTCTGCCGGTCGCTCAGACTCGAGGTCCGGCCCGCGTGGTGTACGGGGCTGTGTTTGCTTTTGTTTTGTCTTAAATATTGTCGTCCCTACCCCCGTTTTAAGTAATATCCATAGCATGTTTTCATACATTTTGCCCTTCAGCGCACTGCTTTTTAGCTATTTCTGAAGAAGACTTTAGGGGCTGACTATAGTATTACCAGGTTTAGCTCAGTGGCACAGCGCCTGTCTGGCAAGCGCAAGATCGTGAGTTCGGTTCCCGGTACCGGAAAAAAAAAAAAAAAAGGAATGCCCATGAAGAAGACCTTATCAGGAATCAATATGTAATGGGGGGGTCTGCCCTCTTGCCAAAAAAGTAGGTCGATTTTTACGTGGTGTCGGACTTCCAAAAGTTTCTGTAAAAATTCACAGCTACTTCAGGATGAAAACAAAAACATAGTAACCTTACTAGTCATGTCTCTTCGAAAACTTGCCGACATTATACTTTGGCCATTGCCTTTTCACTACCACTGTGAGATGCTTCTTTGAAGTGAGTCTCCTACGCTTGTGAATCTGATGAATAAAGCTGCAGGAGTATAGAAAAGTCACGCACTGAAGAGAACTTTAAAAACTCTTCGAGGAAAACACTTGAGTTTTGATTTGAGAAAAACTTGTAAACACTAAATACAGTGTACGATTTCTAAAGATATAATACGTATAGGTATAATCGAATTGCGGGGAGAGCCTGCAGTGTCAGGGTAAGAATTGATTAGAGGAGTTAAGAAACCTGTTTCTCCGAGGTTCTTTCAAGTAATGAAACCAAACCATGTTTTGGTGCCATTATTCCAGAGTGCAGTGAAACCGGGACATTCAGGTGGGAATGACATTACGGTGGGAAAGAACAAACGACAGTCTGCCTAGAGGAGAAGCCTTCACGGAGTGGCCTGGAGACGTAGCAGTACATCCCGTATAAGAGCAGAGAGGGTGGGAGAGGCTAAATAAATGAAATTGATAGTGGAAGGGTGGAGTAAGGGCTTGGACTATAGTATTACCAGGTTTAGACTTCATTTCATAAACAGTAAAACCCAAAAAGCCACGGATAGTTTTTGAGTAGGGGAGGAACTGAATTAGAGATTAGATCCATTTCACAAAATAACTCTTAGCAGCAAGTTGGAAGATATATTACCTTAGGAATGAGTAGACACTGGGAACCCTTCCAGGATGAGATGTGTTGGTCAAGGTTCTAGGTCGATGATACTGGAAAGGAGAGAGCGAGCAGGGCTTCTGGGAAAGAAACAGGTGCAGACTGATTCATTCCTGTAGTCTCAATGAATAGATAAGCTGATTCCATTAAGGGAACACTGCGGAAACAGATTTTTGTGGGAAGTGTGTTGTGACCATTATCAACTGACCTTTATTTATTTATTTGCTTTGAACCGGGAATTGAACTCAGAACCTTGCACTTGCCAGGCAGGCACTTGTGCTGCTGAGCTGTATCCCCAGCCCTGACCATTATTATCAACTGATACCCACCAAGAAGTTACATATTTGAGAGTTTTTTGAAATACAGGCCTGCTCTCATTTGCTCTAAACTGTTAAAAGCCTCTATCCTGATGGAGATGTCCAACAGTGTAAGCATTGGAAATAGCTCACTTAAGTGATAGCACAGGCTGAGATCACCCAGGAGGAAAGTTTAGGGTGAAAGGAGGACCAGGGAGGCAGGAGGATCGTTGCGAGTTCGAAGCCAGCCTGGGCTACAAAGTGAGCTCCAGGCCAGCCTGAATTGCATAGTAAGACCCTGTCTCAAAAAGACAAAAAAAAAAAAAAAGAAAGAAAAGAAAAGAGGACCAATGTTTGGTCCTTGGATAGATGGAACAGTATTTGATTATTGAAAAAGAGAATTCTAAGAGAGATGGGAGAAAGGGTGAGCTAAGAAACAGCCTTGGAATGTGCATACAGAAAACTATTACTGATTCTTTTTTTAAAAAGTTTTAGTGGAACAGAACAAGAAAGTAGTTCACTAAGTTGGTAAATATGTTTTATGTGAAAATGCACCCCCACACACATTTTCCCCTTCATACTGCTTTTAAGCTGTTTCTAAAGAAAACTTTATCAGGAGACAGTGTGTAATTGGTGTGTCCTCTTGCCAGAAAAAATAGGCCAATTTTTGTATAGTGTTAGACTTCAAATGGTTTGTGTAAAAATTCACAGCTACTTCACAGAAAAAAAAAAAAAAAAAACCCACCTGTCATAACCTTCCTAGTAATATCTCTTTGAAAACTCTCTGTCTCTTTCTCCTTTAGTATGGAAATTTCATCGATAACCTAAGGCTCTTCACCAAGGGAGGAAGTGGTGGAATGGGTTATCCTCGCTTAGGTGGAGAAGGCGGAAAAGGCGGTGATGTCTGGGTTGTAGCCCATAAAACAATGACTTTAAAACAACTTAAAAACAAGTATCCTCAGAAACGGTTTGTGGCTGGAGGAGGAACAAACAGTCGGTAAGTACTTTAATTTATAAATCAAACCCTTCTAGAAGAAGAAAAATTATAAGATAAAACTTCATTGGTAATTTGAAGTAAATTGTTTCATGCATTTGTAACTGAGTAAGCATCTAAAATGTCTAAACACGTGAAAAACTGGTACTGAACATTCTGGAGTTCTTAAATTTTGTGTTAATTTCTTCTCCCAGTGGTGGTATTCTTTTCTCCACTTCCTCTGTAGAGACAAAAAAATGATCTGAATCCCCATTGTTTGCTCCTAAATTTATCTTGGACAAAGTTGAAGCCTTTCTCAAATTTCGTCTGAGGTACTATACCTTGAATCATCTTACTGCCTATATAGCTCCGTAGCACAGCACCTGCCTAGCAAGCGCAAAATCTGGAGTTTGATTCCTGGTAACAACAACAAAATCAGTTGTCTAAAATTTTTCCACTCAGATATAACCACCATAACCCTTTTCTTAATTTTTCTGTATGTTTACATAATGTAATTGTGTATATTTATAAAGTCCAGTACCAAAAGAGAAAAAGATCGGACAGGCGACTCACTCCCGGCCTCGTGGTTTCCTGGAAGGAGGGCTTCCGGCGCACAGGGAGC